GCGGGGACATTGTGTTGCGTTCTTGGGCAGGACACTTCACTCTCACAGTACCTCTTTCCACCCAGATGTATAACTGGGTACCGGCGAATTTAATGCTGGGAGTAACCCTGCGATGGACTAGCATCCCTTCCAGGGAGGAGTGCACTGTAGAAATACTCCTAGTCGCTTCATGCCACAGAAACTGGGATAAGCACCGGCCTGACGGACCACTTGGCTCTTATGCAGACTTGACCTACTCTCGCTTCAACACAGAGTGCAGAATGCAGGATGCTTCTAATGGGTTGATAAAGTAATTTGGATGAAGGCAATTTGCATGCGGCGGCGACGGGTTTCTCAGAATGAAAACAAAGAGCACCGCCACAACAAAGAGAGCCATTTAATATCTTCATTGTCATCACAAGTTTTCAGTTACTTTGAATCATTCACGAGGCCAATAACAAAGAGTCTGGTGTCACGCCAACTCGATCAATATTCGCGGAATGAGAAATTTAATTAGTCACAAGACAACGATGATCGACACTCTTTGAGCAATCGAAACAGAGTGCTTTCACTACATTACTAGATTGAAATCTGCTGCGTTTGAGAGCAAATATGAATCTGAAATTTGCTGTATGTATATCATTCGTCCTGACGGTCATAAAACTGTCAAATTCGAAACAGACTAAAGGACCGAAGTGTGGCAAAATAGATGCGAAAATGTTTCCATCTTGCGCCAAAGCAGGGTTTAATTTTACGGTTGACAGCATCACGTATGGATTCTTCGCCAATTCGTTCAAAGACATTGTTAATGGCATCACGGCAAAATTGGGCGACTGTTCAAACTACACGAGTCATATCGTGTGTTCTCTCTACGTGCCGAGATGTAAAAAAGCCATGGCAGGGCCATGGCTGCCGTGCCAAGAAGTTTGCTGGGAATTTGTTCGCGGATGCGGCGAGAAAATGGATGTTCACGGATTAAACTGGATGAAATCTCTGTGTGGTCTTCTGCCTTCAAAGTCTAAAAACAGTGGAAAACCTGACGATTGTTTTGAGCCGCCAGGGTTTATTAATCAGAATTCTTCACAAGGTTAGTAGACATGAGGATACCGCAGTGAAATAATTTGTGTACGTTACTCTTTAATAACACACCAACTCTGTATGAGCGGGTACAAGTCAATTCATCTGGGCTCTTTTATTCCGTCATTCTCCTGTAGTGTTTCAAGTCCAAACTCATTTATTACTTTGTTCATTCTATCACAAACCAACACCAACACATACAACAACATTACTCACTTGCATTGCTATTGTACAGTATTGTAATATGGTGGCGTATTCTTCAGTCACTTTCTTCCTTTATCTCCTTTCTTTCTCTCTTAACACTTTATTTAATCGCAATTGTAAATTATTTCGTAGATACCATTCCATTTATCATCTTTTATATGTAATTTGTATATATTTATATGTATTCTAATTTTTCTGACACCTCAGGTTCTGTAAATTAATGTTTGTGAGAGTCTAAATTAAAATTGAATTGAATTGAATTGGAATGTTTTTTTATACTGCGGGGGAATGGGTACCAGCAAATAAATCAGCGGCATTTGGGCATTTTGTTTGTCATTTGTCAATATGTGTTTGTCTCTGTTTGTTTGGGGTGGGAAGAGGGGGTNTGGGAAGAGGGGGTATACTGGGGTGGGAGGAGGGGGTATATTGGGGTGGGAAGAGGGGGTATACTGGGGTGGGAGGAGGGGGTATATTGGGGTGGGAAGAGGGGGTATACTGGGGTGGGAGGAGGGGGTATATTGGGGTGGGAAGAGGGGGTATACTGGGGTGGGAGGAGGGGGTATATTGGGGTGGGAAGAGGGGGTATACTGGGGTGGGAGGAGGGGGTATATTGGGGTGGGAAGAGGGGGTATACTGGGGTGGGAGGAGGGGGTATATTGGGGTGGGAAGAGGGGGTATACTGGGGTGGGAGGAGGGGGTATATTGGGGTGGGAAGAGGGGGTATACTGGGGTGGGAGGAGGGGGTATATTGGGGTGGGAAGAGGGGGTATACTGGGGTGGGAGGAGGGGGTATATTGGGGTGGGAAGAGGGGGTATACTGGGGTGGGAGGAGGGGGTATATTGGGGTGGGAAGAGGGGGTATACTGGGGTGGGAGGAGGGGGTATATTGGGGTGGGAAGAGGGGGTATACTGGGGTGGGAGGAGGGGGTATATTGGGGTGGGAAGAGGGGGTATACTGGGGTGGGAGGAGGGGGTATATTGGGGTGGGAAGAGGGGGTATACTGGGGTGGGAGGAGGGGGTATATTGGGGTGGGAAGAGGGGGTATACTGGGGTGGGAGGAGGGGGTATATTGGGGTGGGAAGAGGGGGTATACTGGGGTGGGAGGAGGGGGTATATTGGGGTGGGAAGAGGGGGTATACTGGGGTGGGAGGAGGGGGTATATTGGGGTGGGAAGAGGGGGTATACTGGGGTGGGAGGAGGGGGTATATTGGGGTGGGAAGAGGGGGTATACTGGGGTGGGAGGAGGGGGTATATTGGGGTGGGAAGAGGGGGTATACTGGGGTGGGAGGAGGGGGTATATTGGGGTGGGAAGAGGGGGTATACTGGGGTGGGAGGAGGGGGTATATTGGGGTGGGAAGAGGGGGTATACTGGGGTGGGAGGAGGGGGTATATTGGGGTGGGAAGAGGGGGTATACTGGGGTGGGAGGAGGGGGTATATTGGGGTGGGAAGAGGGGGTATACTGGGGTGGGAGGAGGGGGTATATTGGGGTGGGAAGAGGGGGTATACTGGGGTGGGAGGAGGGGGTATATTGGGGTGGGAAGAGGGGGTATACTGGGGTGGGAGGAGGGGGTATATTGGGGTGGGAAGAGGGGGTATACTGGGGTGGGAGGAGGGGGTATATTGGGGTGGGAAGAGGGGGTATACTGGGGTGGGAGGAGGGGGTATATTGGGGTGGGAAGAGGGGGTATACTGGGGTGGGAGGAGGGGGTATATTGGGGTGGGAAGAGGGGGTATACTGGGGTGGGAGGAGGGGGTATATTGGGGTGGGAAGAGGGGGTATACTGGGGTGGGAGGAGGGGGTATATTGGGGTGGGAAGAGGGGGTATACTGGGGTGGGAGGAGGGGGTATATTGGGGTGGGAAGAGGGGGTATACTGGGGTGGGAGGAGGGGGTATATTGGGGTGGGAAGAGGGGGTATACTGGGGTGGGAGGAGGGGGTATATTGGGGTGGGAAGAGGGGGTATACTGGGGTGGGAGGAGGGGGTATATTGGGGTGGGAAGAGGGGGTATACTGGGGTGGGAGGAGGGGGTATATTGGGGTGGGAAGAGGGGGTATACTGGGGTGGGAGGAGGGGGTATATTGGGGTGGGAAGAGGGGGTATACTGGGGTGGGAGGAGGGGGTATATTGGGGTGGGAAGAGGGGGTATACTGGGGTGGGAGGAGGGGGTATATTGGGGTGGGAAGAGGGGGTATACTGGGGTGGGAGGAGGGGGTATATTGGGGTGGGAAGAGGGGGTATACTGGGGTGGGAGGAGGGGGTATATTGGGGTGGGAAGAGGGGGTATACTGGGGTGGGAGGAGGGGGTATATTGGGGTGGGAAGAGGGGGTATACTGGGGTGGGAGGAGGGGGTATATTGGGGTGGGAAGAGGGGGTATACTGGGGTGGGAGGAGGGGGTATATTGGGGTGGGAAGAGGGGGTATACTGGGGTGGGAGGAGGGGGTATATTGGGGTGGGAAGAGGGGGTATACTGGGGTGGGAGGAGGGGGTATATTGGGGTGGGAAGAGGGGGTATACTGGGGTGGGAGGAGGGGGTATATTGGGGTGGGAAGAGGGGGTATACTGGGGTGGGAGGAGGGGGTATATTGGGGTGGGAAGAGGGGGTATACTGGGGTGGGAGGAGGGGGTATATTGGGGTGGGAAGAGGGGGTATACTGGGGTGGGAGGAGGGGGTATATTGGGGTGGGAAGAGGGGGTATACTGGGGTGGGAGGAGGGGGTATATTGGGGTGGGAAGAGGGGGTATACTGGGGTGGGAGGAGGGGGTATATTGGGGTGGGAAGAGGGGGTATACTGGGGTGGGAGGAGGGGGTATATTGGGGTGGGAAGAGGGGGTATACTGGGGTGGGAGGAGGGGGTATATTGGGGTGGGAAGAGGGGGTATACTGGGGTGGGAGGAGGGGGTATATTGGGGTGGGAAGAGGGGGTATACTGGGGTGGGAGGAGGGGGTATATTGGGGTGGGAAGAGGGGGTATACTGGGGTGGGAGGAGGGGGTATATTGGGGTGGGAAGAGGGGGTATACTGGGGTGGGAGGAGGGGGTATATTGGGGTGGGAAGAGGGGGTATACTGGGGTGGGAGGAGGGGGTATATTGGGGTGGGAAGAGGGGGTATACTGGGGTGGGAGGAGGGGGTATATTGGGGTGGGAAGAGGGGGTATACTGGGGTGGGAGGAGGGGGTATATTGGGGTGGGAAGAGGGGGTATACTGGGGTGGGAGGAGGGGGTATATTGGGGTGGGAAGAGGGGGTATACTGGGGTGGGAGGAGGGGGTATATTGGGGTGGGAAGAGGGGGTATACTGGGGTGGGAGGAGGGGGTATATTGGGGTGGGAAGAGGGGGTATACTGGGGTGGGAGGAGGGGGTATATTGGGGTGGGAAGAGGGGGTATACTGGGGTGGGAGGAGGGGGTATATTGGGGTGGGAAGAGGGGGTATACTGGGGTGGGAGGAGGGGGTATATTGGGGTGGGAAGAGGGGGTATACTGGGGTGGGAGGAGGGGGTATATTGGGGTGGGAAGAGGGGGTATACTGGGGTGGGAGGAGGGGGTATATTGGGGTGGGAAGAGGGGGTATACTGGGGTGGGAGGAGGGGGTATATTGGGGTGGGAAGAGGGGGTATACTGGGGTGGGAGGAGGGGGTATATTGGGGTGGGAAGAGGGGGTATACTGGGGTGGGAGGAGGGGGTATATTGGGGTGGGAAGAGGGGGTATACTGGGGTGGGAGGAGGGGGTATATTGGGGTGGGAAGAGGGGGTATACTGGGGTGGGAGGAGGGGGTATATTGGGGTGGGAAGAGGGGGTATACTGGGGTGGGAGGAGGGGGTATATTGGGGTGGGAAGAGGGGGTATACTGGGGTGGGAGGAGGGGGTATATTGGGGTGGGAAGAGGGGGTATACTGGGGTGGGAGGAGGGGGTATATTGGGGTGGGAAGAGGGGGTATACTGGGGTGGGAGGAGGGGGTATATTGGGGTGGGAAGAGGGGGTATACTGGGGTGGGAGGAGGGGGTATATTGGGGTGGGAAGAGGGGGTATACTGGGGTGGGAGGAGGGGGTATATTGGGGTGGGAAGAGGGGGTATACTGGGGTGGGAGGAGGGGGTATATTGGGGTGGGAAGAGGGGGTATACTGGGGTGGGAGGAGGGGGTATATTGGGGTGGGAAGAGGGGGTATACTGGGGTGGGAGGAGGGGGTATATTGGGGTGGGAAGAGGGGGTATACTGGGGTGGGAGGAGGGGGTATATTGGGGTGGGAAGAGGGGGTATACTGGGGTGGGAGGAGGGGGTATATTGGGGTGGGAAGAGGGGGTATACTGGGGTGGGAGGAGGGGGTATATTGGGGTGGGAAGAGGGGGTATACTGGGGTGGGAGGAGGGGGTATATTGGGGTGGGAAGAGGGGGTATACTGGGGTGGGAGGAGGGGGTATATTGGGGTGGGAAGAGGGGGTATACTGGGGTGGGAGGAGGGGGTATATTGGGGTGGGAAGAGGGGGTATACTGGGGTGGGAGGAGGGGGTATATTGGGGTGGGAAGAGGGGGTATACTGGGGTGGGAGGAGGGGGTATATTGGGGTGGGAAGAGGGGGTATACTGGGGTGGGAGGAGGGGGTATATTGGGGTGGGAAGAGGGGGTATACTGGGGTGGGAGGAGGGGGTATATTGGGGTGGGAAGAGGGGGTATACTGGGGTGGGAGGAGGGGGTATATTGGGGTGGGAAGAGGGGGTATACTGGGGTGGGAGGAGGGGGTATATTGGGGTGGGAAGAGGGGGTATACTGGGGTGGGAGGAGGGGGTATATTGGGGTGGGAAGAGGGGGTATACTGGGGTGGGAGGAGGGGGTATATTGGGGTGGGAAGAGGGGGTATACTGGGGTGGGAGGAGGGGGTATATTGGGGTGGGAAGAGGGGGTATACTGGGGTGGGAGGAGGGGGTATATTGGGGTGGGAAGAGGGGGTATACTGGGGTGGGAGGAGGGGGTATATTGGGGTGGGAAGAGGGGGTATACTGGGGTGGGAGGAGGGGGTATATTGGGGTGGGAAGAGGGGGTATACTGGGGTGGGAGGAGGGGGTATATTGGGGTGGGAAGAGGGGGTATACTGGGGTGGGAGGAGGGGGTATATTGGGGTGGGAAGAGGGGGTATACTGGGGTGGGAGGAGGGGGTATATTGGGGTGGGAAGAGGGGGTATACTGGGGTGGGAGGAGGGGGTATATTGGGGTGGGAAGAGGGGGTATACTGGGGTGGGAGGAGGGGGTATATTGGGGTGGGAAGAGGGGGTATACTGGGGTGGGAGGAGGGGGTATATTGGGGTGGGAAGAGGGGGTATACTGGGGTGGGAGGAGGGGGTATATTGGGGTGGGAAGAGGGGGTATACTGGGGTGGGAGGAGGGGGTATATTGGGGTGGGAAGAGGGGGTATACTGGGGTGGGAGGAGGGGGTATATTGGGGTGGGAAGAGGGGGTATACTGGGGTGGGAGGAGGGGGTATATTGGGGTGGGAAGAGGGGGTATACTGGGGTGGGAGGAGGGGGTATATTGGGGTGGGAAGAGGGGGTATACTGGGGTGGGAGGAGGGGGTATATTGGGGTGGGAAGAGGGGGTATACTGGGGTGGGAGGAGGGGGTATATTGGGGTGGGAAGAGGGGGTATACTGGGGTGGGAGGAGGGGGTATATTGGGGTGGGAAGAGGGGGTATACTGGGGTGGGAGGAGGGGGTATATTGGGGTGGGAAGAGGGGGTATACTGGGGTGGGAGGAGGGGGTATATTGGGGTGGGAAGAGGGGGTATACTGGGGTGGGAGGAGGGGGTATATTGGGGTGGGAAGAGGGGGTATACTGGGGTGGGAGGAGGGGGTATATTGGGGTGGGAAGAGGGGGTATACTGGGGTGGGAGGAGGGGGTATATTGGGGTGGGAAGAGGGGGTATACTGGGGTGGGAGGAGGGGGTATATTGGGGTGGGAAGAGGGGGTATACTGGGGTGGGAGGAGGGGGTATATTGGGGTGGGAAGAGGGGGTATACTGGGGTGGGAGGAGGGGGTATATTGGGGTGGGAAGAGGGGGTATACTGGGGTGGGAGGAGGGGGTATATTGGGGTGGGAAGAGGGGGTATACTGGGGTGGGAGGAGGGGGTATATTGGGGTGGGAAGAGGGGGTATACTGGGGTGGGAGGAGGGGGTATATTGGGGTGGGAAGAGGGGGTATACTGGGGTGGGAGGAGGGGGTATATTGGGGTGGGAAGAGGGGGTATACTGGGGTGGGAGGAGGGGGTATATTGGGGTGGGAAGAGGGGGTATACTGGGGTGGGAGGAGGGGGTATATTGGGGTGGGAAGAGGGGGTATACTGGGGTGGGAGGAGGGGGTATATTGGGGTGGGAAGAGGGGGTATACTGGGGTGGGAGGAGGGGGTATATTGGGGTGGGAAGAGGGGGTATACTGGGGTGGGAGGAGGGGGTATATTGGGGTGGGAAGAGGGGGTATACTGGGGTGGGAGGAGGGGGTATATTGGGGTGGGAAGAGGGGGTATACTGGGGTGGGAGGAGGGGGTATATTGGGGTGGGAAGAGGGGGTATACTGGGGTGGGAGGAGGGGGTATATTGGGGTGGGAAGAGGGGGTATACTGGGGTGGGAGGAGGGGGTATATTGGGGTGGGAAGAGGGGGTATACTGGGGTGGGAGGAGGGGGTATATTGGGGTGGGAAGAGGGGGTATACTGGGGTGGGAGGAGGGGGTATATTGGGGTGGGAAGAGGGGGTATACTGGGGTGGGAGGAGGGGGTATATTGGGGTGGGAAGAGGGGGTATACTGGGGTGGGAGGAGGGGGTATATTGGGGTGGGAAGAGGGGGTATACTGGGGTGGGAGGAGGGGGTATATTGGGGTGGGAAGAGGGGGTATACTGGGGTGGGAGGAGGGGGTATATTGGGGTGGGAAGAGGGGGTATACTGGGGTGGGAGGAGGGGGTATATTGGGGTGGGAAGAGGGGGTATACTGGGGTGGGAGGAGGGGGTGTATCGGGATGAGAAGAGGGAGGTGTCTTGGTGTCGCTGAGCCCTTGTAACTGAGCCGTTCATCAATTTAAGTTGATACAGTCGAAGCTCTCGTAAATGATTATCTTGGAAGTCATGTTTCTTTATTATGTTCAAGCAAAAGACCCTGAAACCCACATCTGACTGTCCAGCTGTGCTTCTTCTATAAAGTTATGGATTCTCCGCCCACCCCTCAACAAAACCACTGGCTTGTCTATACTAATAAAGTTACATTTAGAACAAGTCTTCCGGATCATAGGTAGAACGGAAGTCTTGGCGCGTATAACGTGTTGGCCGCTCCCCCACCCCACCTCCCTCATTCCCCCTCCAAAAAAGTGTAAATAAAATAACTTGCCACTGAGGTCTTTGTTCTGTTTCTTCTAATCACCAAAGATCTGTCCTGTACCGAAGCGGTGAAAAATAAGCAGTGCATGGATGCAAAATGCACAGATACTTTTATACCAGAGAAAACACAAGAAAGCAAAGACTTCAAGGACAACGAAAATAGCACCATCGTCAAGCTAAGAGCAGCTGTCGGGAAGGACAGTTGTAAAGAAATTCTAACGAAATTAGCCTGCGCTTCATACACGCCACCGTGTGAAAAAGACGGACACATGATGAAGTCGTTGTGTAGATCCAGATGTCTTGAGCTCTTTGGCGACTGTCCTGAAGCCTTCAATGGCACTGACGTCTCGGCGTATTGTGCAGCTGCCCCTGGGGGATATGCGGACAGCGGTTTCTGTGATCTAAAGAGGTGGCCTAGTGCTGAACATTGGGATGTAGGTACGTGAGAAAAAATATAGTTGGAATATTGAATTAATTCCCGGATGGAATGCTTTATGTTGGGCAGCACTTTTCATTATTTTTAACCGCCTGTTTACAAGGATATATCGAGAAATGTTGCTCAGTTTAGGAGCGTTACCCTCTCAGAATGTACAGAATGTTTATATGAAGACTGATATAATCCCTGCTGACCGAGAACTGAAAAAATGGCCTCTCTTAACCCACCTATCAGGGTTAACTAGCTAACAATGATGATATGATAAACAAAACTAATTTCTTTTCTTTAATGTGCCGCGGTCAGACAACGCAAGTCTAATGAAGTTTTCCGTCTGAGACTTGACTGACTTTTCATTTCATACATTAGCGACTGAAGGAAAACTCTATTTTACATTTTAATTGTGATCTCACACTACTTAGCACTACTTACAACACTGTTACGGTTACTTACACAATTTACAATAGTAATACAACTACTTCCCCTTATTACAATACTGATACGTGTACAGTCACTTATGTCACTAACAAAACTTGTTATACAATGCGATTACTTATACACTACTTACACTACTTAGAATACGATACGATTACAGATATTACTTACAGTACTACAACTTGCACTTCTCACTCTACAATACCATACGATTACTTATCCTACTTAGATACAGATTACGTTCAGTTCCAAGAGGATATACGTATATATTCCCCAATTTTCAACACTGCGCGTGGTACGAAAAGGATTTGAAGGATAATAAACACAACCAGGACGAGCAAATTTCGCCAGGTTTAAGTTAAGCTTATCGCNAAGATTTTCAGACGACCAGCGACTTCGCCTTCTCAAGTTTGTAGAAGTAATCTTACCAGCGTTTTTATTGCACGAAATGACGAAATGCCACTACGGTTAGCCTAAATAGCCCTTCAGTTAGCCTAAATATCAAACTCTCGATAATTGTAAGGGTTAACCCTTACAGACACCCGAATTCCACATTAATTCTTTCCCGCAGTGGCATTTCGCCATTTCGTATCATAAACACGTCCTAATTTTAGCTGCTCTTAGCCAAATACCATATTTTTTCACTTAGTTACATTGCAGTTTGACCATTGTTACATTGCTTTTTCACTGGAGAGTCTGTTCTTCGTAATAATGTACATATATGTTAAATTGATTATTTTATTTTTTAGGCTTTCAATTTTGACTAAGGTGTATATAACTTCACTCAGGCGCTAGACCCGATCGTATCCCCAGAGGCTGCCATATGCATCCTTTTGGCCAGTGCCACAAAGCGCGGGTTAGGAGGATCACAGTCTCTATAAAAATAACAACAACAGATGACAAGGCAAGCTCTGCCATGTTTGTTAAAGTGTTCAGTCTTGGATCGAAATAAAACTGTTCGACTGATGGCTTTTTGTCTTAGCTTAACTTAACTCTACCTAAGCTTTTACAAGGTTTACTCAAGTTTAGAGATTCGCCACGCTGTATTCAAAGTTGGTCGATCTGTTTGTAGTTATGTTTGTGCGCTGGTAAGTCCACCAGTTTCACTGCGGCTTAAAAACAAATTTTTGAACGACATTCCTGCATTTCCCTCTCGCTCCGCCCCAAGTGGTTGAAACTATTAGGCTCCGTCTACACTACGCCGGAGGAATTTGAAAACGGAGGTTTCACTCTGGAAATACATCAAATATGTTCCGTCCACACTATAAATTTGAAAACACAGCAATACGGCGATCATTTTGGATTTGTGTTTGGGTAAAACTCGAGCGGGGAAATGTCATAATTATCGCAACCTCATCGTTTTCGAAAAGCTTCGCCTTCAAAATGTTTTCTATCCACACTGAAACGTGAGGCCGGCGTTTTCAAATTCCTCCGGTGTGAGGAACGTTTTCGAAAAGTTCCGTTTTCATGACGGATTAGTGTGGACGGAAGGCCTGAACGAAGAAATAAAGCTCCGTTGTCAAATTCCCCCCGGCCTTAGTTATCCAAACTGTACTGTTATGCAAATGTATGACTTCTAAGAGACAGTGTGAAGAACATAAACAATGAGTTTATCTCAACTGCCGAGTATCTAGGATTTTAGCATTCTTATACTGGACCGACCGGGTCACCACTTCGGTATAACGCGCACACATGTTTTTCGCCAGACACTTGAGATTTATCAGCCATGCATGAAAAAGAAAAAAAAAAGATTCCAACAGACTTTTTTTCCAATACCCCTGTCGTCTTAAACCTTCACCCTTGTACTCGATGCAATATGTTTGTGGTGTTCGGAAGAAAAACACTGACTGCAAACAGTCTAAAATCAAATAGGAATTTCGTACACAGCTATGAAACCAAACTCGTCTGTCCTTGAGCTCCTTTACAAGTGTAAAATAAGTTAAATATGATACTTGACTTTTTCCAACGATTGTCATTTGTCAAGAGATTATAATCTCTTGCGTTTGTTCATGAGTAATTTCACGTATATACTGATGTGGGTTAAAAATACATGTTCTGTATTGGCTTATCCAAGTTGTGTCCTGAAAACACTTGACTAATATTAGCTGCATAGGCTATATTCTCCATCATTATCCATTATAAGTAAGACCTGAGAAAAAATAATTAAATCAATTGCGCTACTGGCTCGTCAACAGTAAAACCTTCCGGCCATGTTCCTCTCATTTCTGGTGCTCAACGGCGTATTGTTCCTAACAACTGATTTTACTTTCGCCGGCAAATGTCGACAAATTAATTCATCTGTTCTCCCTGCCTGTGCCAATGTTGACTACTCTTACACGGCAAACTTTTCAGACATCGGACAAACGAGCTACCAAGAATACGTTTCATCTGAAGTGACTCTCTTTGCTAATCGTTTCAGCAGTTGTTCACCGCTTTCAAAGACTATCGTCTGTTCTCGTTATGTTCCGAAGTGTTCCGAACGTTTCGAACAGCCTGTTCTGCCTTGCCGAGAAGTCTGCGAGCAATTTGTGAACGATTGCGACAAAGCTCTGAAAGATAGTGGACTGTATAAGCGCTATGTAGCTTACTGTCGGCTACTGTCGTCTGATGAAGACATCACGGCGAATTGTTTTAAACCCGATGGATTCGTTTCTCGAACCACAAAAGGTAAGTTTCAACTTCAATATTTTTTCGTATGAGAGTTCTCTCCCCTGTTGGAAGCACTCGCATATTTTTTTCTCTGATTAACATATTTCTCACATTCATATCAGTATCATCATTTCCTTTTAAAGTATTTTTGATCTTTTGGCGGACAATTTTTTGTTGCTGTGTACTTTAATTGTTATAAGACAATATTTTTTTCATTCAACAAATGAAAGCAAGTCCTGATTAACCAAAACAATAATTCGTATATTTAAAAGCAAACTAGAAAACCAAGATTAGCAGACCCTTAAGCAGGCAACCTTTTTTGTGATTCACGTTTATAAGTGAACTCAAGTTGAGCGTCATAAAGTCCTAAAATTTCAAAAAAAGAAATGAATTCTTCGCGTGGGCCATCAGAGACCAACTCGTGTCTATCAAACTGTGAAGCCAGTACAACTCTGTGGTTATTTAATGAGCAGAGGAACAAATAACCAGAAACCGGTCATTTCAACTAATTACTCAATAAAACATAAAAGATTTGAAAGGGTAATAAAAACATAATCGTATCATATACAATATCTGAACAAAAAGCAGGTCACGTTTTTAAGAGGAATTGTGAAATAAAAAGGAAATTCCTAAAGTTAACATCCCACGCCGGAAACCCGTAATTTCGGAGCTTGGGAATCTCATGACAGAGTATATTAGCTGTATTCATGACAGTATTGTATTAGCTGTTTCATCTTCAACATGGCAACGGCTTAAACATGCCGTGTAAATAGAAAAAAGAGTGAAAATATATCACGACCATTTTAAATATGTACTTTTAAATTGGTGTGGGCATTTTTGTTAGGATAGGATAGGATAGGAAGGCTATATTTCAACACGATGAGTTTTAAAGCTAAAAGCTTGTGGGGTCATGTATAAAATAAAAGAAAGACCTAATAACAAAGTGATAATTGTTTGCCGTATAAATATTGAAATACAGTCAGACAAGTGCACACGAACTATATTCGCAAAATTATGCGCGTGCGTTCCTGACACAGTTTTTCGTTAGACAATCCGATATACCACAGGCAGAAGATCAAAATTGTCTTGAGTTGAAGTGTCAACTACCAAATAAGAAAAAAATTCCGAGCGCGGTAAGATTTTTACCGCCATGCACGGGAAAACGTTCTCAGTTGAGAACTCAGCATTGAAGAGTAAAAAAAAAGTAAACTCAACACAAACAACTGTCCTTTTACATTGCAGAAACGACGTTACCAAACTGCGAAACAGTAAGTCAGCCTGCATGTCTTGAAGACAATTTGAGTGGCCTGGAAAACACAACAAGAACTCGGCTCCAGTCTTGGCTTAAAAGCCTTGAACCAGTCCTTAACACCAGCTGCTCGGTCAATTTAAAGAAATTTGCCTGCTTTGTTGAAACGGTGCCATGTATCACTAATGTCGGCTCCACCCTGGACAGCTGTCAATCATTATGTGAGGAGGTCAGGCTTAATTGCGGAAAGGACTTGAAAATGCACAACATCTCTTTTCCACAATGCATCCCTAATTACCCTGAAGTTGACGTTGGAAACGGCTTGTGTAGCCTGACTCACTGGCCAGTATCATGGCCGCCGCCGCCAGCCAAGATGAAACAAAATCCAGGTTTGTTTAACAATAACAGTATCATACCATATCATAACTCTTTTTCTAAGGCCATCGTAGTTTGATTACAAATATAACCAAAAACTAGCGGTTATAAAACCGTTGTACACCAGCGATTTTTATGCTAAACTTGACGTTTCGTATGCTGGACAACATACATTTTCAAGCGTGACCGTTACAATTTTTGAACAACTCTTTATTCGTTATNATCTGTCAATGTTATTAACCAAGTACTATAAATGCCATACTAGGAGAATAAGTGCTCAAGGTCTTGACAGTAAAGATCACATCCAGTAAGATCCAGAGAGAAGATACTTTCGTCGAGATCAAATTTGAACGCAAATCGACGCAAGTTTTTCACCGTTTGGTCACCCAATCCAACCCAACCCAAGCAACCTACTATCCAGTGAAATACTAAGCCCAAACCCTTGAAGTGTTTTTTTTTTTGCAACTTGCGTGTACTTGCGAGGAAACTTGGCCACCCAAAGCAAGGCTTAACGTAAGTTCAACTTGCGGCTGCTTGCGGGTCCGTTTGGCCAAGGCTTTAGGCTGAGCTATCAGTAAATTTTCTATTTGTTTGGTAATTCTAGAGGTTTTTTTGGTCCATTTCCCGAAAACCCTAGGACTTATTGCTTTTCTGAAAATTAAAGCTGACCTTTTTTGATACCCAAAACGACATTTTTTCAATACTAAAACAATTGGCATAAAATTTCTCGTGTCACAAAAGTTCGAGGTGACGGTTCTCTTTGAATCTTGAATCTTGCCCCTGAATCTTCTTCCAGTATGGTTCCAAGCCAGCTTGGTTAGTAATAGATTTATAAAACAGCCTTTTTGATCGGCTGATTTTAGTAACTAGCCACCTTGGATATCTGAGTTGTGTGATAAATCACTTGCCAGAGAAAAAAATACAAAAAAAATGCTATAAAAAAATTAAAGTAATGAGTTACAACTGTATGTGTTAAATAAAATAAAAGTTGAAAGTTTTTTATTTATTTAAAAAAACCACGATGGTTATTATTATAACCAATAATAGGTTTGACAGATATTTGTAAAATGTAATAAACAAACCTCACCCTGATTTGTAAAATACCTTTTGAATTTTTTCCCATCATTTGTAAATTTGATTGTTTTATTACAGAAAATATAAAACCTTTGATTTGCATATCTAGTTGCAACAGAGATTTGTTTGCAATGTTTCATCTATTTTTGCAATAGCTAGTGCTTTAATTTCTTCCTGACATTACTCTCCACAACAGCCACCATGGCAACAGAGGAAAGTGGCTTTTGTAGAGNAAATAAATTTAAAAAATATAGTAAATAATTACAGCTAAAAATTTTATAACAATATTAAAAATTTAAAAAAAAATAAGACATCCTCACCACTACTAATGCTACTTGACCTACTACTGCTCCGACTTGAGCCACTGCTTGATCCTGAACTGCTGCTTCTACTACTGCTGGATCCTGAACTGGAGCTGCGACTGCCAGAACTTGACGAGCTGCCAGAGCTTGACGATGAACTACACCAGAAACATAACAAAAGAATGATATAAGTGTGAACAAGCAATACACTGTAGCTGTGCAGAAGTTCATAGTTCATGTATTACATGTATATGATTTCAGGGTGCGTTCCTTTGGATCAGGATTCAAGATCACTCGGTTTATGGTGCATCAAAGGAACTGTCAGATGAATCTGTGACCAGAGTGGACTCATTGGTTCCTTTTGATGCACCATGATCTGAGTGATCTTGGATCACTGACCAGAACTGGTTCACCCCAAAGGAACCCATCCTTTTAGCCAGCCTTAAATTATTTTATAGTGGATGATACCTCTGATAGGGAAAAAAAAAATATTCTGTTTAAACCAGCCAGAACAAACAAGAAGACATTAAGCTAAAGGTATACAGGCTATGTTTTAAAATATTTCAATTTTTAACACCATTTTGACCAATGATAAAACTCGTAAAACAAATTCATACAAGCTGGGCATTATTTGGGAGTTTCTTATATTTGCAGCTTTAATTATGTTTATAGGGGAGTAAACTAATCTCCACTGCAGTATAATGGCTGTGGTTACACTCATTCAGCAAACATCTACGTCTCTGCAGGTGTAGAGTTTGTTGAATCGCGTGCTGTAAACAAACAGTGAAAGGCTGTATGTTGCCCGTAATTTAACCTCAACTTTGCCATGACCAGCGCGTTGGAGAGTTAACAAGACTCTAAGCCATAATTTCAATTAGCCATAATATCTAAAAAGACAGAATAAATTTCTAGATTTAAGATGTCTAAAAATGCCGTGTATGACATTTGCAGACTGCAGCCGATGCGCCTGGTTACTACATTTAGGCCAACATAGCGCCCTGGTTCACCTAAATATCACTCAGGTTAGCCTGTTTACGGTTAGCTCTCGGTAATGGAAATGGGAATACGATTTCAGTTAAAACGTCTGCGGTCTGCAGTCTGTAAAATGTCATACACCAAGGAAAATGGCAGGAAGGAAATGAAAGTTCACTCGAGGGTTTACTTCACCTGCTGGATGAACGGCTGCGGCGTCGACTTCCCTTCGAATTCTCTGTAGCATTTTTTGCACTTGCTTTGCCTTGCTCCCCTTTGGCTTTATTCTTTCCTTTACTTGCTTTACTCGACTTTACTGGACTACGGCCTCGGGTACTAGAAGTTCGCTTCTTTTCTTTGTCTTTGTCTTTGCGAGGTGCAGGAGAGCGCGAGCGTGAGCGACTTCTGCGACCCCTGAAAAAACAGCGGGAATTAGAACGAAATTAAAACAAAACCATTCTAATACGGGAATAGAATAATTTTAAAACATCTTAAGGTGCATGAGATAGATATGAAATGTTTAGTAATAGCAGGATGACCGAGGATTTTACAAGAATCTACTTACATTTTGATAACTGCAAGTCAAAACAGCCAAGATGGCCGAATCCAAGCGCTTCACTAGATCCCAGGCCCTTACGTTTGTGAAGAAAATAAAATAAAATAAAATAAATAAATGGCGGGCCCTCTGGCACATTGAACAATCCTTCAGATGTATCAGTCACTTCGAGCCTCGCCAACCTCCAGGACTCCTGTTGGAGCTTCTTGGGCAACCCCCAGGTGATTGACATTTTGAATCTTCATTTGGTCAAATTCCAATACCGTAAATCCTCGAATTAGCGCCCCTTCTATCGGCCGAAATTTAAAATAAGCGCCCCCCCCTTGAATAAGCGCCCCCTCCCCTCCCTCCATTTTGTGGACGAGTAATGAGACAACAAAGGGTGTATAGTTTTCGTCATGTAGTATTAGATTTCTACACTGTTTCAGTTTGTGAACATGTTGAACACGTTAAGTACTAACGGTGCCGCGATTTAAACTTTAGGATCAGCTTTTTATGTCAGTAAACAGCTTATGTTGGTGTTCACGCGCAGATCATGTATTAAAAAAATGATCATGTCAGGCCACGATTTGGAAAAATTAAATAAGCGCACCCTCCTCGAATAAGCGCCCCCCGTCTTATCTTAAATTTGAAATAAGCGCCACGGGCGCTAATTCGAAGTTTTACGGTACCCCAGGTCAAAAATGCTGTTGAAATGCCCGTCTTCAGGGCTCTGCTATGTCTCTAGGGGTAGGGTCATTTGTTCACGCGCACAGCAAAAATGAGAAATACAAAAGAAAAAAATTCATCCCCAAGCATCCACTTTTGAAACTTTCACTGTGTCACTTGAAGTATTATTTTACATACTACAATATAAAAGCAAAACTTTATACAATTTTTCTCTCAACCATAGCACAAAGCTCTTGAAGGCCATTTTACGAGCCACAGCATTAAAACGAAAGCAGAACGAAAGGTGCCATCAGGCTTCTTGTTTCACCGTGATTTCGAGGCAACTTGCTCAAATGGTCTACCCCTTCCATATGATGTCAAATTCCCCACCCTGATAAAGACCAAATTTCTGAGTAATATAAACATCCAAGCATCTTTGTGAGGGGAGGCTCTTTTTCCATCCGTGGGAATTGCAGTAGTCTCCTCGTTATTAGGGTCGTCTCGCAACGCTTCTTCGTTTCGTGACGACCCTAAGAGACTAGGATTGCGGGTGTATCGTAATACCCACAGCTCGAGACTTCTTGCACTTCAGAGTGTTCTTAAAATTCACAAAAATCGACTATCTCAACAACAGGGTGGAAGTTTCCTGTTTCCTTTATAAAATCTTCAAGAAAATGCATCCTTATAGGTCGAGGACGATGAAGTACATGCATGATGATAGCTAAGCATTATCAAGCTATTAATCATCATCATCATCATCATCATCATCATCATCATCATCATCATCATCAACGATCTTTTATTTGCCTCAGCCTAAATAATAATGAGATATAATAACAGTAACAGACGGCGAAGAGGAGACCCCCTCAAAAACCACTAAGTTTATAGTGGAGGCCACCTCAGTTGTTAATATATTGTATATTCTAAGTTCTGTGGGAACGGCATAACCAGTTCACCATGAACTCGAACTAACCAATTCTAGCAATTCCTTGAACATTTCACAAAAGGTTCCAATGTGTCGCAAATATTATTAAATATCAAATGTTATTATTACTGAAAGAATAGCCGAGACCGTCTTTCTCGCATCGTCATTTTGAGCAACTTTGCGTCGATTTCCTGCAACTTGGGGGATATTTTCCTGTCCCAGGGACTCTAAACTAACTTGTGATGATCTTGGTTTTCAGTGAAATGGACAGAGGAAAAATAATTCAACGCTCGGTTTCGAGCTTCTAGGCTGAAATATAGCCCCACTTCATTGTAAGACTGAAAGAATAGCCGAGACCGCCGTACGCGCATCGTGATTTTGACCTACTTTGGCTCGATTTCCCCTAACGCGGGGGATATTTCCCAGTCCCAGGGACTCTAAACTAACTCGTGATGGCCTTGGTTTTCAGTGAAATGGACAGAGGAAAAATAATTCAACGCTCGGTTTCGAACTTCTAGGCCGAAATACAGTCCCACTTCATTTTAAGACTGAAAAAGTAGCCAAGACCGCCTTACGCGCATCGTGATTTTGCCCAACTTTGGGTTGATTTTCCGGCACTTTGGGGATATTTTTCAGTCACACCAGTCAGAAAACACAGCTGTCAAGAACCAAGTTTAGTTTTTGTTTTATTTAATAAATCAATGTCTTTAAAATTACTCTACATATTACAACATTTTAAATTAATGTTACTTAAGAATACACTCTCTATAGAACAAAATATTAATTTATTTGTTAACTAACTCTCTATATAGTTTTTTCTTTCAAATCATTGTGGCATAAAACAAAAATTAAGGAGAATTACTTTGTACATCTAATGGACAGAATAGGATAGTTATTGTGAGACTGTTTCCGCCAGTTTTCAAGATTTAAAGAAAAGAAAAGAAAGGCTGCCGCCAGTGGTTTCAATTTGAATCTTTGCCAGGAAGACTTGTATGTTACCATGACAATAGCCCGCATAAAGAAGTCTCTTTTGCTATTTTCATGTGAAGCAAAGGATGTAGGAGCTAACTGTAACCAAGAACATGAAAATAAGTAAAAATAATCCAGTATTCCACTTCTAGTTCAATAAACACCTTTTTAAGTCTTCTTAAATAAAACCGTTAACAAAACAACACAACAAATGCAGCCATTGTTGACTGACTGTACTGGCTTAAGAAGAGGCCTCTGACAATTCTAAAATAAACAACAATAATAATAATTATTATTTTAAACACATAGCACAATCTATATATTAATAACTGTACAGTAATATGAATTTTAGAATTTTTGTATAATTATAAATTGGGTGGAAGGTATCAAAAATTGTTTCTTCGGAATAAACAAATTCCAGATAGGAGTAATTTGTTTGATGTGTTTTATAAAATGAGCTACATTTTGGCCAAAGTATGACAAAAAACCCCAAACTTAATTTGCTGTGCTTAACAATGACCTACAATTTAGTTATTGCCTATGGATTGTCACTGGGTTAGGTCTAGAGGTTACTAGCATTGGTGACCCATAAATAAAGGGGTGCATGGAAAAAACCCTACTGACTCTTGATCTCATGTCAAATACTCCTTTTCTGTGCAAGGAGGTGGTAGGAGAATCTTGCAGTCCATCAGAGGTCACTTAGAGTCTTTTTCCATACACTGCTTCAAATAATGAAGGCCAAAACCTCGAGCCTAATGTTAAGCGCACGAAATGCACACTCTTAGCAACTAATTATCATAATATTATTAATATTATTAACGTTATCATTAACATGCCTGTTTTGTTCTGCATTACTTATAATCAGGTATCTTAAAGAGATGGGTAGCTCAGGATCAATATCTCTTTTATTCAATATTCAATGTCAAGGTGACATTTTGGTTTACCACAAGTCATAAACAAAATTCATCACACTCATCACACGAGTGGTTTATAGGTGTCAGTTGCACCTGATCACATGAGTCATATCTGCAAAAACATGAATTGCATGATCAAGCAACACAATCTGCCCTTATGTTAACCACTCAGGTTATTCTTGTGAAGTTTTTCTGCCCTAACACGTTATTTTTTGGATCCTTCAGTTACAATGTACTTATAATTGGTCCTTTTCATTCACCGTCAAGTAAAGTACCTAAATGTCATAGTTTAAGTTTATCGATTCTTTGCTGAAAACAAATGTATGAAGAAAATTCATATTAATATCTACGAATTACTTCTAAGGCAATGCTTTCTCTGCTCCAAAAAAGAAGCAAAAAATAAATATAACATTTTTGAAATAGCAATGGCTTGACATTTATGATTCATAATACTGTTGAACAACTTGTATTCACTTTTTGAATAATCCATGAAATAATTTTTGGGGGGTAAATTTAAACTTACTCACTTCATACCAAATGAAATTGAAAACACACCATAATATTCCTGTTGTGGACATTATACACTGTTACAGCCTGAAAGAACACATTCCTAATGAAGGCATGCCTGCAAATTTATGAGCTATCCTAGATATATGGTCATTAAATCTTGATAAAGACTCAGATTGATTGATCTACATCCTCATTGTAAGTCTACAGTTTTTACTGAAATGTCTCAATTTATGAACAATTTAACACTTTTTTCATACGTTAATTGATCTGACAAGCTATAGTAAGCTATTCTACACTTCATTATGAAATATTCTCTGCATGTACACATATGCTTTCATCTGATCACCATTCCGGGAATTGTTCTTCAAGTCCTGAATTCATGAGTCTGATGGGGAGATCTTCCATGTTTGGTAAGACAAACATGTTCTGAAATTAAATATTAGTATTGATATTAAAAAGCAAGACATGTAAGACTAATTTGCTACTGAAAACTGGGTCTTGGTGGTCTCAACTAGCAACCTACAACCTGGGAAAACTGGAGGAAACTTGAGAATTTGGGAGGTTTCATCAGAGATTCACAAATACCAAACAGAAAACAAAACAAGCACAAGCCTATACTTGTGGGAAAAACAGCAGCAGCAGCAGCAACAGTAGCACACAAATTCTTGTTATATTGATCTCACAAACACCAGACGTGGTGCTTTATCCAGTAAGGTGGACTTGGAGTGAGCAAGGCCATTTACTAGGATCATATGCAGAGGTTTCAACCTGCTTTATTTCAGAGTTGAAATTAAAAATTGTAACTCACCCTGAATTCTTGTTTAAGCTTTTTCTCAATCCATTCTGTGACGTGAGTAAGTTTGACCTGACGATCACCGAGCTTTGGTCTTGCTGACACAAACAGCAATGGAGTTCCTCGAAAACCATACCTGCACAACAAAGATATACAATAGCGTTTTTCATAAAAGATGATAACCAAAATATTTCTGTGTAATTTTGCATTTTTAAATGGTTGTATCTCAGTCAAAACTAGCCTGATAACACTAAACTTGAGGATTTTGTGGATCTCGGTGTGCTCTTTCTGACTATGTGGATCAATAGTTGCTAATCCCATAATTTACAGACTCATACCTAGTCCTTTTCAGCTTGAAATCAGGCAATGACGATTTATAACAAATTACTATTTAAAAGTTAGTGACAAAGATAAATGATCACCAGGTAGAAAAACAGTAATAAATCAGGACCATATATTCTCTCAAGAAGAAAGGTAGTGAATGTTGCAGATTGGAGATTGTTCAATATAGATCAACTAACAGTCACCTACCAGAGTCTGTTTGTAGGAGGTGGAGGAATGTTCAATGCAAGAGTTCCTTGGACTTTTTGAACCTCCACCGACAAAATGATAGGAATATTAGAAAACCTCTCAGCTGCCCGTTTGACTATGCCAGTCTCAGCTGCCTTCTTTACCCACTTGGATTTGGCCAGCCGTTCAATCACACTAAAGATCTTACGCTTTGTTCCATGTCTAGCTGAAAAACCTAAATGTTTTTTTGCTGGAGTACAAGGGGCACTGTCTGATGTCTTGTCACTAGGGCCAGTTGGTAAGCTTTTATCAGGTGTTTCTTCTCCTGAGCTCTGCTTTTGAGAAGACAGTGTCCTTCTTTTTAGTTGGGTGTTCCTATCCAAAATGCCATTTCCTACTTCTGAGTCAGATAGATTGCCAGAAGGCAATGTGTCCTTGCTTTCTAGAAAGTCCTCATCACCCTCAAAGCTGCTCAATGTGAAATAGTCAGAGCTTTCACTCTGCGGTCCATCATCAGGCTTATCTGGCACTTTAAGAGGTGTATGAATAGCTTTAATTGTGAATTCTTCAAGGTCAGACTCGGGCGATTCAAAGTCTGAGTCACTATCTGGTGGACTTTCTGACTCAGAATCATTTTCTGGATCCTCTGGGTCAAAACTTTCATTGTCAATCATTTCATATTTTCGTGACAATGCTGCCATTTCCAGTTCTGCGGAAACTTCTCCATGTTCACTGTTTCCAAGACTTAGGAAGTAGCTCAAATAGCCCTCAATGTTCAAATGGCCCTCAAATGTAAGAATCAAGCCACCGCCATAGGTCACTTCCAAATCAACCCAAGTGCCCCGCTCGTCAACCACAGGAGGAAAAGTCTTTGTTATAACTGGGAGACTTTGACCAAGATTGAGATCCGAAATAGTGATATCCCGAATAAAAGAGGGCTTTTTCATCTTGGCAAGTTTGTTTTCAAAGCGTTCCTTGACTTTGTTGGTCCAGTACTTATCTTGCCACACATCCCAAAATGCTCTTCCAAATATAACATTCACCCAGGCAATTTCACTCTGCTGTGAAGCATTAGGTTCAGGCACAAGTCTGGCCATGTAATGTGGATATGAGCAAGACGTCTGGATGGTTTCCTGTGAAGAAGTGTTCTCAGAATTGTCATTCAGAAGTCTGCACAGGTGATTGAACCATTCTTCTTTCTCTCTGCCAGTCCTCGGAAACAAGTAAAGAACACCAACATCTTCAAATGAATCCTGCTGTTTGACCTTGCACACGTTGTCTGTGTCATCTTCTTCATCTGTACTTCTGGTTTTGTAAGTGATGTCTTCAGTAACTGCATTTGGCTTTTCAAGAACAAGGCAGATCGGAAACTTTCGACTCCACACTTTCTTCATTGTCATAGTCGAAGGTAAAAGTGAAACTTTACTTCCAGCTATGTCGTAGTGTTCGTGTCTTGCAAAAAGTACCTTTGCACCCTCATCAATTGACCTGAGATCAAACTTTTTGCCCGCACTATCAATATTGGGATATGACAGAGTTAATTTTGTTCCCTTCACTGAGGCATATATTGGAACAGTCTCGTGGCTAAAGTCAAACTTGTCTGCGACATAATCAAATGACTTAAACATCCAGCCCTGAAGAGAAAAGCAGAGTAAAACATTAAAGATGATTCAAGCAAATCTTACTAAATGGTTATGAAACACTGTGTAAGTAGGTTAGTATTCACAAGCCTTGTTACCCATAACTGTTTTTGTTTTCACTGGCTTCTCATCTGTAGCATGAAGCAACTGATGTTAGTCCATTACAGCTTAGTTTCAAGCATTTTGTCAACTCATCCTAACAATTTGTTGATACCCAGGTTTGGTTTTTTAAACAACAAGTGTTGCTTAAAGATCTCATTAGCTTGTTGTGCCACGATTTGACGATTACACTATTCAAAAGTCTTTTCATATTGTGAACCTGACGTCGAAAATGTCAACAGATACTAATGACGTCACCTTTTGAATTTGACATACATTTGACATCAAAATAAAAAATAATACCCAAATAAAACACATCTGATTTGAAGACCACAGTTAGGAAAATTTCGTAAGTACATCATGTATCTGAGTTTAAGTATTGTAGCAATCTAGCTGTGTTTTGGTAAACATTCACTGCATATTTTTGGCTGATGGGTGTCTCAGGGGGGGACCCCGGGTGGGTGTCAAAGTGGAGAGTGGAATGTGGCTTAGATTTACAGAGTTCTCCATAAGCTCCGGTGACCGGCGAAATTCGCTGTCTAGTCGTCCTTGGCGTGCCAGCTACTTATAGTAAATAAATTATGAAAAAATTGTATTTGTAACAATGTGAGCCTATCCGTCAATAAAATTAAGCATAAAAACAATATGTCTAATTTTCTCAACAAATACATAGCAACTCTTATAGCTGTAAGATAAAAGAAATCTGAAATCATTTGGGCCATGAGAATTGCCACCAAAAATGTGACGTGGGCACTGAGCTGTGACAGCAGCACTGAAATATTTGACAGCCGGGATTAAGTTAAAGCTCAGTTTTTCCTCTGAACATGAAGTGCAAAACCCAACAATTGCTACTAAGTACCAGGGATAAATTGAAAAGAAAATAGAGATGGCACAAATGAAGGTCATAAGTTGTTTTCTTTCGAAAATATTATTAAAATTAGTT